AGGAGGGAAGAGATTGGGGAAAAAGAAGAGGTTAAAGATGGGGGAAGCAATGTAAAAAGAGGCAAAATGAAGTGGGGGGGAGATTTATCAAACCAATTTTGTTGAAAAAAAAAAAAAGTTTTGGAGTGAGATTAACAAATTTAAAAAAGCCCAGAGAACAAATTGATTTGTTTAAAATAGGAGAGGAGGTTATTAAAAGGAGAGTTAAGGTATTGGGAAGATGGAAGGAAATTTTGAGGGAATTTTTAAAAGTTGAGAAGATAGGGAAGCTGTGATTTTGTGTATAGGGCAAGGGGAATAACCTCTTGAGGAGTGAGGAAAGCCAGTTGTGATTTGGGGGAAATTCGTGAGGGAGTAGTAAAATGAAAGGGGGGGAAGGCAGCCGGGATTGAGGGGGAAAGATAAAAATGTTAAAAGCAGGGGGGGATTGTTTTGGGTGGTTGGGGGCAATTTTTTAAAATGTATGGAAGAGGAAGGTACCAGGGGTTGGCAGAGAGTGCATATTCCTTTGTATAAAGCAAAGGGGGTAAAAGGAGTGCAAAAAAATAGGGGATAAGTCGTTGAGTGTCCTTGGTTTTAAGTGTATGTGAGTTAAAAATTTAAAAAAAATTTAAAAGTAAACGGGGGAAAGGGGTGCAAGAACAAGGGCTTTAGGAAAGGTAGGGGGGGTGGGACCCGGGGTTTTAAATGAAACATTAAGTGAAAGATTTAGATAAGGTAAAGGGTCTTGTGGGGATTTTTGGATTTTGGGAAAAGGGGATGACAGGGTGGTAGGGGGGCAAAGTGGCAGATGTTCAAGTGTATGGGGTAGGGGGTAGGGTTTCTGAAAAACAGTGAAGAGTTTTAACGAGGAATGAGGCTCAATTTTGAGTATGTGGAAAAGGGAAATTTTTTCCCATAAAAATAGGCCTTAGACAAGGATGGGTTTTTTTTCCCGTGGTTGTTTTAATATTTATAGATGGGGTTGTAAGGAAGTAATGCGAGGGTCTGGCAAAGCGTGATTAAAAGAAAAAAAATACACCAAAGTGGGGAGTTGTCACAGCGCTCTTTTCTGAGACACTGTGCTCTTGGAATTTGAAAAGAAGTTCAGAGATTGGGATGAATTTGGTAGGGTGTGCAAAAGAAGAAAATTAAAGGTGAATACAGGAAAGAGTAAGGTTATGAGGATAACAAAAAGATTAGGTGATGAAAGATTGAATATCAGATTGGAGGGAGAGAGTATGGAGGAGGTGAACGTATCAGATATTTGGGAGTGGACGTGTCAGCGGATGGGTCTATGAAAGATGAGGTGAATCATAGAATTGATGAGGGAAAAAGAGTGAGTGGTGCACTTAGGAGTCTGTGGAGACAAAGAACTTGTCCTTGGAGGCAAAGAGGGGAATGTATGAGAGTATAGTTTTACCAACGCTCTTATATGGGTGTGAAGCGTGGGTGATGAATGTTGCAGCGAGGAGAAGGCTGGAGGCAGTGGAGATGTCATGTCTGAGGGCAATGTGTGGTGTGAATATAATGCAGAGAATTCGTAGTTTGGAAGTTAGGAGGAGGTGCGGGATTACCAAAACTGTTGTCCAGAGGGCTGAGGAAGGGTTGTTGAGGTGGTTCGGACATGTAGAGAATGGAGCGAAACAGAAGGACTTCAAGAGTGTATCAGTCTGTAGTGGAAGGAAGGCGGGGTAGGGGTCGGCCTAGGAAGGGTTGGAGGGAGGGGGTAAAGGAGGTTTTGTGTGCGAGGGGCTTGGACTTCCAGCAGGCATGCGTGAGCGTGTTTGATAGGAGTGAATGGAGACAAATGGTTTTAATACTTGACGTGCTGTTGGAGTGTGAGCAAAGTAACATTTATGAAGGGATTCAGGGAAACCGGCAGGCCGGACTTGAGTTCTGGAGATGGGAAGTACAGTGCCTGCACTCTGAAGGAGGGGTGTTAATGTTGCAGTTTTAAAAACTGTAGTGTAAAGCACCCTTCTGGCAAGACAGTGATGGAGTGAATGATGGTGAAAGTTTTTCTTTTTCGGGCCACCCTGCCTTGGTGGGAATCGGCCGGTGTGATAATAAAAAAAAAAAAAAAAAAAAAAATAATAATAATAATAATAATAATAAATACGATATAATTGAAGAAGGAAATTGTACAAAAATACAAGGGAGTGGTTGACACATCGTCAGTATGGCTTTGTTTATGCTGGAGTGAACATTAGTCTCCGTGCTCTTCCAAGCATTTCACAATAATTCATTGTGTTTGGTGCTTGTAGATTGAGTGCGACTGGAGTGGTTGAGGCAGTGGTTGAGGCAGCTGTTGAGGCAGCGATTGAGGCAGTGGTTGAGGCAGTGGTTGAGGCAGTGGTTGAGGCAGCGATTGAGGCAGCGATTGAGGCAGTGGTTGAGGCAGCTGTTGAGGCAGCGATTGAGGAAGTGGTTGAGGCAGCTGTTGAGGCAGCGATTGAGGCAGCGATTGAGGCAGCGGTTGAGGCAGCGGTTGAGGCAGCTGTTGAGGCAGCGATTGAGGAAGTGGTTGAGGCAGCTGTTGAGGCAGCTGTTGAGGCAGCGATTGAGGCAGCGGTTGAGGCAGCGGTTGAGGCAGCGATTGAGGCAGCAATTGAGGCAGTGGTTGAGGCAGCGATTGAGGCAGCTGTTGAGGCAGCAATTGAGGCAGCGATTGAGGCAGTGGTTGAGGCAGCGATTGAGGCAGTGGTTGAGGCAGCTGTTGAGGCAGTGGTTGAGGCAGCGATTGAGGCAGCGGTTGAGGCAGCGGTTGAGGCAGCGATTGAGGCAGCGATTGAGGCAGCGATTGAGGCAGCTGTTGAGGCAGCTGTTGAGGCAGCGATTGAGGCAGCGGTTGAGGCAGCGATTGAGGCAGCGATTGAGGCAGCAATTGAGGCAGCAGTTGAGGCAGAGGTATTTAATAACATACATGTTATTAATAATAATAATACATGTTATTAATAATATGTACTATTATTATTTATAACATATATGTTATTAATACCACTGCCTCAACCGCTGAATTATTGTGAAATGTTTGGAAGAGCAAGGAGACTAATGCTCACTCCAGCATAAACAAAGCCATACTGACGATGTGTCAATCGCTCCCTCGTATTTTTGTACAATTTCCTTCTTCAATTATATCGTATTTATTATTATTAATTATTATTATTATTATTATTATTATTATTATTATTATTATTATTATTATTACTATTGTTATTATTAGCAGTAGCAGAAATGTTTGATTCTTTGCTGTGTTCAAGAGTAAACACATGATGTCACTGTCTAATACCTGTCCGAATAGCCATTCCAATATGCAGTCATGAATGGGTTTACATTATTTATACTGTAGTTTAATAGCAAATAATGAACAAACAAAACACTCACCACACTGAGTGGTGGGAGGGCTGGCTGCCAGTTGTGGGGGTCGGTGGGAGGGTAGTAGGGACTCGCAGTGGTTGAGGAAGTGGTGGAGGCATTGGTGGAGGCAGTGGTATATTTAATAACATACATGCTAAATTTAAAACATAACATGTATATATTTAGTACAATTTACAACATTTTCATATATTTTATGATTGTTCATGGTTCAACAAGTTAAGGAAGCAGTATTGTATTATATTTCCCTGCAATATATTGGGGCACCAAACATTCACGGTTTTTCAACATTCGCGAGGCTCTTGATCCCCTAACCCTCGCAAATGTTGAGGGAGACCTGTACATTCATTGCTTACCTTAAAATATTTGTAGTCTTATTGTAGGACAAGAAGTAAGTACAGTTATTCAGGCTAAAACATTGTGTAGTTTTAAAAATTGGGTAGATAAATACATGAGTGGGTGTGGGTGGGTGTGAGTTGGACCTGGCTAGCTTGTGCTGCTGGGTCTGGTGCCGTGCTCCATCCTTGAGTGGAGGTGACCAGACTGGGTGGGTCACTGGGCTATTCCGGGGGAGAGGGGGTGATAGGACGACATGGACCTGCTCTGCATGGGTCAGTAGGCCTGTTGCATGTTCCATGAGTTTAATTGTTTCTAACAATTACCTTCAGATGCCATCATGAACAAAGGGAGAAGTAACGAATAATTCATGACGAGAATTGTAAACAAAAGCAGAGTAGGGAAGTGATTGGGCCAGACACAGATTCATACAATTTTCTCTAATGTTGGACCAGAGAAAACGCAATGTTTACCCTCCACCAACTCGCCCCTCGATAGCATATAAACACTGCATGTTTATATGCTATATAACATGTTTCTTATATAATTTTGAAGAAAATATCATAGATGGATTAATGAAAATGTCTATATTAACCTAAAATAACACATTTAATGTGCCCAAGAGTGAATCACAAACGTATGAGTGGCCCAGGTGCATGTGTCTGGTACTGACGATTTCTGAGTGAATGTACAAAACCCAGGGGAAAATTTTGCCTAAAAGTGCTCAAAATCCTAACTGTACAATTTCCGCACTGGACGAAAACTGGGGGTCCACTGTATATCCAACATCATTAAACCTGTGGCCTGGTCTCAGATTACATCCTAAATTGAAAACATAAAAGTACTAAGAACTACAGTGGATCACTGATACTATTAAGGAAGTTTCACCAGATATTCATATACCTGAAGATCACATGGAGGTCATTCCGGGTATCAATGCCCCCGCGGCCCGGTCCATGACCAGGCCTCCCGGTGGATCAGGGCCTGATCAACCAGGCTGTTACTGTTGGCCGCACGCAGTCCAACGTATGAGCCACAGCCCGGCTGATCCGGCACTGACTTTAGGTATCTGTCCAGCTCTCTTGAAGGCAGCCAGATAACTACATAATTCTGTACAGACCCTACTTTTTGAATATTCCTTTGCTACATAAATGACTGTTAAAATCAGGATTAAATTTTATATTTAAGATAACCAAATAGCCCTGATTCATAAGCAAAATATTTTAACTAGCAATGAGGAAGTGAAGAATCTCTATAAAGGGAAGATAATTCATACCACAACACAAATGAATGAAGTTTCTATGAACCTTTAAATATGAAAGACAGCGCTGTCCATGCCAGTTGATCATGACTGGTGTGGTTGGTGCGAGGGATGAGTACACTCCACCTGCATTTCCCACACCCAGAGAACTGAATTGTTGGCTTGGTTTGATCTCAAGAGCTCTCTTGTTCACCTTGAATTCTGGATCAGGATGTGCCTGTAAATAAGTATACCTTAGAATCTTTGTAATGATGGTGTTGTGACTGATGTGTGATAGTGGTGGCATTGTTAGATGTTCCAATATAATGTAGTATTGGTGTGGTGGTAGTAGTGTGATGATAGCATGTAAATGGTAATGAAGAATCATAGTGTGAGAATGATATAATAATTTTGTGGTGGTGGAGAGTGTTATGATAATATTGTGGTGGTCGAGAGTGTTATGATAATATTGTGGTGGTCGAGTGTTATGATAATATTGTGGTGGTCGAGAGTGTTATGATAATATTGTGGTGTCGAGTGTTATGATAATAATGTTGGTGGTCGAGTGTTATGATAATATTGTGGTGTGGAGAGTGTTATGATAATATTGTGGTGGTCGAGAGTGTTATGATAATATTGTGGTGGTCGAGTGTTATGATAATATTGTGGTGGTTGAGTGTTATGATAATATTGTGGTGGTCGAGAGTGTTATGATAATATTGTGGTGGTCGAGAGTGTTATGATAATATTGTGGTGGTCGAGAGTGTTATGATAATATTGTGGTGGTCGAGAGTGTTATGATAATATTGTGGTGGTCGAGTGTTATGATAATATTGTGGTGGTCGAGAGTGTTATGATAACATTGTGGTGGTCGAGTGTTATGATAATATTGTGGTGGTCGAGTGTTATGATAATATTGTGGTGGTCGAGTGTTATGATAATATTGTGGTGGTCGAGAGTGTTATGATAATGTTGTGGTGGTAGAGTGTGATAGGCTAATGTTATGATAGTGGGGCAATTATGATGCTGTGTAACTGACAGTAAATTGTATGATCATATTGTATGTGGTGGCATTATTCTGCTGTGGCGGTGGTATGGAATCACATGTGGTGTTTGATGATGGAAATGTTGCTAGGGTGATGAGTGGTTATGAGGTGATGTAATGGTCTTATAGTAATAAGTGGTAGCAGTGTTTTGTGATTATGTGAAAGATTGTGTAGTAATATTTAGAGATGGTGCTGCTGCTGCTGCTTTTGGTGTGTGAGAATGACCAAAAAGTGTGTTGTGGTCCAAGCAGTTATAATGTTGATATGTGAGGATGAAGTTTTGCCATTTATTAGTAGTGTTTTTGTGGTGATGGAATAGCTGGCAGTGTGGTGCATGGCTGTGGCAATGTAAACTACCTATGTATGCTGAAAATGGTATAAAATACTGACAAGTTAATGAGTAAGACACATGTGCAACAGTTGGGTATCTTTATTGCTGAAACATTTCTCCTACACGGAAGGCTTCATTGGTCAAATATTGAGGAGAATGCATTGTAAACAGCAGGAGTACTGGTGAGGTGAAGATGATGTAATTGGTCCATCAATCTTGGAGAAATAGTTTGAGGTGGTCAGTCCCTCAGCCTGGCTGAAAGACTGAGCACCTCGAACTACCTATGTGCTGGGTTATAAATCAGATCTCACCAGTCTATGCAGCCTAGAATGACCTTACTATAATAACTCTAACACAACTAGAATTATACATATACAGAAGCAAACACCTAGGTAGTAGGTTGGTAAACAGCAACCGCCCAGGGAGGTACTACCGTCCTGCCAAGCGAGTGTACAACGAAAACCTGTAATTGTTTTACATGATGGTAGGATTGCTGGTGTCTTTTGTCTGTCTCATAAACATGCAAGATTTCAGGTATGTCTTGCTACTTCTACTTGCACTTAGGTCACACTACACATACATGTACAAGCATATATATATACACACCCCTCTGGGTATTCTTCTATTTTCTTTCTAGTTCTTGTTCTTGTTTATTTCCTCTTATCTCCATGGGGAAGTGGAACAGAATTCTTCCTCCGTAAGCCATGCGTGTTGTAAGAGGAGACTAAAATGCCGGGAGCAAGGGCCTAGTAACCCCTTCTCCTGTATAAATTACTCAATTTAAAAGAGAAACTTTCGTTTTTCTTTTTGGGCCACCCTGCCTTGGTGGGATACGGCCGGTGTGTTGAAAGAAAGAAAGAAGCAAAGTACAGTAAACGTCAATTTAACGGACCAGTAAGGAGCATGTGACAATAACTGCAATTTTGTATATAGAAACAATATTATTTTGCTACAACTGTAGCAATAATGAAAAAATCTATAACTAGTGTGCTTAGTCCATTTTTTTAAGATTCAAGTGATCCAGCAGATTTTATTCTTTATTTCAAAAGTCTACTAAATTGAGGTTAGTTAAAACAAGGGTTTACTGTACATACTTCTTTAAACTAAATAATTGCTTAACAATCTCTGACAATTTCCATCTTACAGAAAACAAAAAATAACCATACCTTGAGTGCAAGGAGTTTGGACACAATGATTTCATCCTTGGCATGAGCAGCAATGAAGAGAGCTTTGCATTCATCATCCCTAGCATGGCTTTTGAGCAGCAGGTCCAACATACCCAAGTCTCGGTTACGACATGCTTCTACCAAAGCAGTTGAGCCTAGCAAAATATTGGTGTGCATCACTATTTTCTAGGAAGTACCAGTAAATAATAATATTCTTTCTTAAACATCAGGTTTCACAATGAGTCTAGTAAATCAAAGTAAATTAACTTATGATATTCATTTAATAATTATGGTAAGAGCTCAAACATTTTACACAAACAGCAAAATGGCCTACCATTTCTTCAAATATAGTTTTCTGCACAAATTTATGGGCTTCAATTCTCCACTATTTTTTCTGACTGGCAACCCACAAATGAATGTGATTATCCAATAATTATTGTCTCAATGGCTGTCCTACATTTAAATGTCTTTATAGTCTGGTCATTATTATGAATGTTGATACTAAGAGGATTAGAGAGATACATTACAGAGGTATGGTCTCAGACACACAAAATGAACCTATATCTGAAATATAATTTGGTAATATTTGAAATTTCTAGTTCCATGGGACCTCTAGGCCTGTAATCCCTAAGGATGATTATACTGAAAACTCCTATTTTAATTCATCAATGTATATTTTAAAATATAGTACTGCCTAGACAGTCCCAAGTTATATTATTCTTAGCTAATTAAAGAAAACTGTTATTTAAATACGGCCTCCCCTCACTTAATGACTGAGAACCATTCCAAAGACCAAGTCATTAAACAAATTTGTCGCTAAGTGAGGAACATACTATAATAGTAGTGAGTTTGTGTCAACTATCTTTGATATTGTTTTAATGTCACCTTTGTAGCATTTATAACTTTTTTGATATATTTTTAAATGTTTATACAGTAGTGTACTGTATATTGAAATAAACAGAATAAAGGAAATCAGCTCTAATATACATTATTTAGGTATGGATACTTGTCAGAGAGCCCACTGTAAGTCCGAGGCGTCGGTAAACGAGTGCATCGCTAAGTGAGGAGAGAGTGCACTTTAAAAGTTATTTTATTACATTATTTACAGTACAGCCTCTCCTCAGTGACGTACTCGTGTACCAACCGCTCGGACTTACAACCAACTCTCCAACTAGCATGCAAACCAAAGTAATGTATATTAGAGCTGATTTCCTCTATTCTGTTTATTACAGTATACCTTTGATATACCTTTGAAGAATTTTGAGAGTATATCTACTCTCTGAGCCCGGCCACGGGCCAGGCTCATCTAGTGCTTGCCTGGTCAACCAGGCTGTTGCTGCTGGAGGTCCACTGCCCCACATATCCATCACAGCCTGGTTGATCTGGCACCTGGTAAAGATACTTGTCTAGTTTCCTCTTGCAGGCTTCAACACTTGTTCCAGCAGTGTTTCTGATATCTTCTGGTAAGATGTTGAAAAGTCTGGACCCCGGATTATGATACAGTGTTTCCTTATTGTCCCCACTGCACCCCTGCTCTCACTGGGTTTATTTTACACTTCTCCATATCTCTCACTCCAGTATGTTGTTATGGCAGTGTGCAGATTTGGGACCAAGCCCTCGAGTACCTTCCAGGTTATTATATCATGTACCTCTCTCCCTCCGCTCCAATGAGTACATGTTCAAGACTTCAGGCGTTCCCAGATTTAGTGCTTTACTGGTTCAATGTGAGCCAATAACGATCTCTGTATTTGTTCCAGCTCCGATATTTCTCCTGCCCTGAACAGGGCTGTCAGCACTGAGCAATATTCTAAGTGAGGGAGCACTAGCGATTTGAAGAGTGTCACCATCAGCATTGGTTCCCTTGTTTTGAAAGTTCTCAATACCCACCCAGTCATCTTCCTGGCTGTCGTGATCTTTGTCTTGTTATGGTCTTTAAAAGAAAGGTCCACTGACATAATTATTCCTAGGTCTTTTACGTGTTCCTTACGTTCTATTTGGTGACCCTCTTCAGTTTTGTATACAGTGCTCCTTCTGAGTTCTTCATTCTTTCCATACCTAAGCAGCTGGAACTTATCACCATTGAACGTCATGTTGTTTTCCACTGCCCACTGGAAAACCCTGTTTATGTCTTCCTGTACTTTTTCAGTGTTCTCTACCGTACTGACTTTCATGCTTATTTTAGTGTCTTCTGCAAATGATGATACAAAAGTGCGCCGGGTGTTTTTGTCTATGTCTGCTATGAGGATAGGGAACAGCAGAGGTGCCAGGACAGTGCCTTGGGGCACTGAGCTTTTGACCTCACTGATGCTGGATCTTGCCCTGTTCACTACTACTTTTTGCGTTGTGTGTGTTAGGAAACCAAAAATACATCTGCCTACCTATCCCGTAATGCCCATGGCCTTCATTTTGTGTGCTATCACTCCATGATCGCATTTGTCAAACGCCTTTGCAAAATCTGTGTAAATCACATCTGCGTGTGATTTACACAGCAGCTGTGACCGACATGATCATCCTGCTCTAAAACCATGCTGGTTCGGGTTATGTTGGTTGTGCTGGTCCATGAAATTTGTAACCTGCCGTCTCATCACTCGTTCAAAGATTTTTATGATGTGAGAGGTTAGGGCTACTGGTCTGTAATTTTTAGCTAGTGCTCAGTACTACCTCCCTTGTGCAAAGGAGCTATGTCTGCACTCTTTAAGGCTTCCGGTATTTCACCTAGATCTAAGCTCTTTCTCCAAAGAATATTGAGGGCTCGTGCTAGTGGTACTTTGCACTTCTTTATAAATAGAGCATTCCATGAATCTGGTCCAGGTGCTGAGTGAGTTGGCATGTTTTCCATTTCTTTTTCGAAATCTATGGGATTTGTACTAATGCCAGTTAGTTGGTCTGTGCGGCCTTCTTCTGGAGTGAAAAATATTTCTGCATTTTCTACCTTGCTGTCATTTAGTGGGTTGCTGAACACCGACTCATACTGTTCTTTTAGGATTTCACTCATTTCCTGTTCATCGTCAGCATACGAGTCTCTTCTCAGTAGTGGTCCAATTCTACAGGTAGTTCTTAGCTTGGATTTTGCATAGGAATAGAAATATTTTGAGTTTCTTGCAATATCCTGTATGGCCTTTTGTTCCCTTTGTACTTCTGTGAGGTATGACATCCTAAGTTTTTGCTCTAATTCAGTGATCTCTCTGCTAAGTCTATCTTTCCTCTGTTGTAGCATATTTGTGTTTTTAAGCAGTTCAGTAACCCATTTTCTTCTTCTGTACCATCTCCTATGCTCTCTCTCTATATCTGATCTTCTGGGTTTCCTCAATGGTACATGTTTCATACATACTTTGTATGCTTCTGTATTCAGCTTCTCTAGGCACTGGTGGGGATTTAGGTCGCTCATGTCTGATTCCCAGGGTATGTCTGATAGCTCTTGGTTTATTTTTTCCCAGTTAATTCTATAGTTGTTAAAATTAAACTTACTGAACATCCCGTCTCTAACTTTTGCGATGCAGTTTCCTACCCCTGAGTTAATACTAGATTGAACCTCTATGATGTTATGATCAGAGTAAATAGTTTTGGAAACTGTTATGTCTCTGATCAGTTCCTCGTTGTTTGTGAATATCAAATCCAGGATATTTTCATTTCAAGTGGGATCAATTACCTGTTGGTTTAAAGAGTACTTTTCACAAAGCCTCATTATTTCCCTGGTATGTACCTGTTGAGCCAGGGTGCTTCCCGGGGATATTTCTGGTATAACATTACGTTGTCCCATCTTCCATTTTACATGAGGGAGATTAAAATCTCCAAGGTGTAAAATATTTGGTGCAGGGCTTTCTAGCCTATCCAGATAGCTATCTATCTTACTTAACTGATCTGTGAATTCCTCAGCAGTTGCTGATGGTGGTTTGTATACTAGGATAATTACCAAATTCCTATTTTCAACTTTAATGCCTAGAATTTCTACTATATCATTCGCAGAATTCAGCACTTCTGCGCAACAGAAAGTATCCTTTACATAGATTCCTACTCCTCCCTGTGACCTATTGATTCTATCACATCTATACATGTTGTAGTTTACTATCTTTATCTCTCCATCCAAAACATCCCTTGTATGTGTTTCTGTAAATGCTCCGAATATGGCATTCGCCTCTGTCAGGAGCCCACTGACATAACTAACTTTGTCATTTTTATTTGATTTCAAACCCTGTATATTTGCAAATATGAAGCAGGAATTACCAAGTGGGATGTTTTGTCTCGCTTTGTGCTTCATTAGTACCACTGGTGGTGTACTACCTGGTATGTCCCCTGGTGTACACTCCCCTGGTTTCTCCAGTACTGGCTTCGCGTTTGTTTGCTTATTCGGCCTTGACGGGCTGATGCCTGGTTTGGTATGCCCCATTTTACTGCCCACCTGTCCTCTCTGTACCATTCCCCGTTTCTCTCTTCCTTTGTTTTGATCTTTTCTCTTTTTGTCTAAAAAAGAAAGCCGTTCAATTTCCTTTTCTCTGCTAGCTCTGTAGTGCCGCGTTCCTTTTACATGATGGTCTGGGCAGCTCAGGTCATAAAATTCTCTGGACTGCATTGAAGCTTTACACATTACTGGATGTAGGAACCTGCACTCTTTGTTGAAACGACACTTTCCCTTCCTCAACATGTTCGCACATTTTCTGGTGTGTTTATTCCAACAACCTCTGCCATATAGGCACATACGTTTAGCATAGTAACTGCAAATGTTCTGACTACCTATATTTATTTATTGATTCTGTGTTGTTCCCAAGTTCTGCCACCTGATCTGAGTTCCCTTGTTCACTTTTTTCTAGGCTAATTTCTTCCCTTTGCTCATTTTCATTTGTTCCTGTTCTAGTTTTCTCATCCTCCCTTCCCCTTTCCGCTATGTTATGTATCCCTGTTTCCTTTTCCGACTTGCTCTGTATGACGTTTTCTACTCTTGCTCTTACTTTCACTCCTTGGTTTTCACCTCTATTTGCATTTTCCTCCTTTTCTTGTTCCTTTCCCCCTGTTTTCCACTCTTTGTATAACTTTGGCAAGCTCCTTAGAAACTTCCTTACGCTTTCTAGGTTTTCACTTTTCAGTACCTCTCTTATGCTTAACCAGCTGTCCCTTTCACTGGGGCAAATCCAGAAACAACTTTCTTGTTTTTGGTCATTTGTCATGGTTGCATCAAACTTTGTACATGATATATGTGATATTGTACCACATATTTCACAATCAATGCCCCTCATGTTTCTCCCAAAGATTTTTTCACATATACAACAGCCTTTATTCCTGGCCATGATTACTTTTAAAACAGGTGCATGTGGTGGATGGTGTATTTATTATGTACGGCTGGTGGTGGGGTGGCTGGTAGGTGAGAGTTGCTGAGCAGTGGGTATCCTTGGGGATATGGTACAGACAATAGGAGGAGGGGGCTGTGCAGTGGGGTGATAAGCTGGGAGATAGGGGTCTGTGGAAAGTGGTGAAGGTGCGAGGAGGGGAGGCCTTGGGTGGGATTGTTGGATGGGTGAGGTAGGATCCGGAGAATGGGGTGGGGGCATGAGGCGGGGGCTTGGAGGAGGGGTGCGGGTGGCACTTTCAACTTGTTCCCATATAATTATACCATAGTTTTACACTACACTCGGGATTAAAAGGATTAACTCTTATCCATAAATTCAGTTTACTATATCACTGCCTATTTATATTCTTTTCGTCTATTCGCTATATGTGGTAACTCATACCTTGGTGTATCACTTGTCACATGTCAACACCAGGACAAGTAGATTGCCCCACCACTGCCACACTTCACAATTGTTTTTTATTTTATTTCCTTTTATTTTATCACTGGTATTTTGTCACTGTGTTGTACACTGGTTATCTCAAGTATATACAATGTATTCGTTCAAGATACACTTTTCTTTTCACTGCACTACACTGGGATGGTTATATTGTTCACACAGCACTAGACCTACGGTAACTTTCCCCTGCACTTCTATAGCAGTAAACTTAGGAGAGGTAACAGGGAAAAACACGTCACACAGTAGACTTATGCCTTTTCCTTGATTGTATGCTTAATTTATGTATACTGTGATTCCCTGCACCTCAATGCTACCATCACTCATTTTATTACTTTTGACTGTAGTAAATATTCCTCCGTTATTTCCACTTCTCTGGACCTCCGGCAATAGTTCGCTAGTGCAAGTTGCTTGTAAATATTCCCATATGCTGCACCATATATTATACGCTATACTGGGGATAATTTAGATTACTCGTATCTACAATTTATTTCACTATGCCACTACACATGTATATATTTGTCACTCGCCCTATTACTTATAGATAGTTCAATATCTGTTTGTTTATTTCCACTTGTGTCGACATCTGGCAATAGTTCGCTAGTGCTGGTCAGGCTTATTTCCAGAGTAACCGTTGTTCTAACCGGCATTCTCCATATGACACTGTAATCCATATTTTTCTATCTGGTGTTCACTGATATTCCTTTTATGTTGGTTCACAAGGAAGTATATCACTTTATGGTTGCACACGCTTATTTCCCGCCCTCTGTTCCCACTTGGGACTATCAGGAAAAGTAATTTTTGATGGAGCTCGACCGCACATGACTTCCCCTCACACTGTCTCCTCAGCTACACTACTGTATATACATTTAAAAATAGACAAAAATATTTATAAATGGTGCAAAGATGACATTAAAAAAATATCTAAAGATAGTTGGCACAATCCCACTACAATACGCTCCTCACTTAACAACCAATTCGCTTACTGACCTACTCTTAGGAACGGAAAACCCCATCCGTTAATGTAGGAGAGGCTGTATTTATCAATAAAAGTAAATAAAATACAATATTTGAATTCTATTTTCTATAAATTAGAAAATTTTCTAAATTAGCAATGTAAATTACTAAACTTACAAGGAAAAGTAAAAGGTAAAATAACAATAAAATATACCTTGTGGAAAATATACTCTTCCTCGCTAGTCCGTTGGCGTATCTCATCATCAGGCAAGTATACCCGAGAAGGTTGGGGTTTGCTTCCTGCTGCAGCAGCATTGACACAATGCTGGTGATGCTTGTTCTTTACTGCGATGTTAAGTGCTGTCACTGTAGTTCAATCATTTTAAATGATTAAAAATTGGTTATAAGTAACAAAAAAAAAAATCATTATGCTGTATAACAGCCATATTCTAATACAGTATTAATTTCTTTAGGCATGCAGATGTAAAAGAAATACGAATTAAATCAAGCTGTAATTTTTCTTGAAAAATAAAATTTTTAAGGAGGAAACATTCAATACGCTGTATTAAAAAAAAATCTGCAGGAAAATCAAATTCCTGAACTCAGAAGGAGTGGAGGCCAGGGGGTTTGAACTGGGAGGTCATGCAAACTGTGATGTCTGCCCTTCTAGGTAGAACAGCTCGACAGCCTCTTTGAGTTTTTTTTTTTTTTTTTTTTTTTGGTGGGTGGGGGGTTGTAACCCTACCTCAGTTTGAGATGGTCAGTCTTCTACAAAACTTTATAATAATAATAATAATAATAATAATAATAATAATAATAATAATAATAATAATAATAATACGTAATAATATTTTATTTTAATTTTATTATCACACTGTCGATTCCCACCAAGGCAGGGTGGCCCAAAAAAGAAAAACTTTCATCATCATTCACTCCATCACTGTCTTGCCAGAAGGGTGCTTTACACTACAGTTTTTAAACTGCAACATTAACACCCCTCCTTCAGAGTGCAGGCACTGTACTTTCCCATCTCCAGGACTCAAGTAACGGCCTGCCGGTTTCCCTGAATCCCCTTTATAAATGTTACTTTGCTCACACTCCAACAGCACGTCAAGTATTAAAAACCATTTGTCTCCATTCACTCCTATCAAACACCTCACACCATGCCTGCTGGAAGTCCAAGCCCCTTGCACACAAAACCTCCTTTTCCCCCCTCCCTCCAACCCTTCCTAGGCCGACCCCTACCCCCCGCCTTCCTTCCACACAGACTGATACACTCTTGAAGTCATTCTGTTTCGCTCCATTCTCTCTACATGTCCGAACCACCTCAAAAACCCTTCCCCAGCCCTCTGGACAACAGTTTTGGTAATCCCGCACCTCTTCCTAACTTCCAAACTACGAATTCTCTGCATTATATTCACACCACACATTGCCCTCAGACATGACATCTCTACTGCCTCCAGCCCTTCTCCTCGCTGCAACATTCATCACCCCCGCTTCACACCCAAAATAAAGCGTTGGTAAAACTATACTCTCATACATTCCCCTTTTTGCCTCCAAGGACAAAGTTCTTTGTCTCCACAGACTCCTAAGTCCCAACCACTCACTCTTTTTTCCCTCATCAATTCTATGATTCACCTCATCTTTCATAGACCCATCCGCTGACACGTCCACTCCCAAATATCTGAATACGTTCACCTCCTCCATACTCTCTCCCTCCAATCTGATATTCAATCTTTCATCACCTAATCTTTTATCCTCATAACCTTACTCTTTCCTGTATTCACCTTAAATTTTCCCTTCTTTTGCACACCCTACCAAATTCATCCACCAATCTCTGCAGCTTCTCTTCAAAAATCTCCCAAAAGCACAGTGTCATCAGCAAAGAGCAGCTGTGACAACTCCCACTTTGTGTGTGATTCTTTATCTTTTAACTCCACGCCTCTTGCAAGACCCTCGCATTTACTTCTCTTAAAACCCCATCTATAAATAATTAAACACCACGGTGACATCACACATCCTTGTCTAAGGCCTACTTTTACGGGGAAAAAAAATTTCCCTCTTTCCTACATACTCTAACTTGAGCCCCCACTATCCTCGTAAAAACTCTTCACTGCTTTCAGTAACCTACCTCCTACACCATACACTTGCAACATCTGCCACTTTGCCCTCCTATCCACCCTGCCCATACGCCTTTTCCAAATCCAAAAAGCCACAAAGCCCCTTTTTTACCTTACAAAACTTTCATTTTATAGTTTTCACTGTAAACCCTGGTCCACACACCCCCTATTTTTCCTAAAGCCCCTTTGTTCACTGCTATCCATTCCCGTCTTACCTTAAATTTCTTTCAATTTAACTCTACCATACCTTTACCAGGTACACTAAACAGACTTATCCCCCTAAATTTTTTTGCACTCTTTTTTATCCCCTTTGCCCTTTATAAAAAGGAACTAGCATGCCTCTGCCAATCACTAGGTCCCTTTAAACCCTCTTCCATACATTTATTAAAAAATTGCACCAACCACTCCAAAACTAATCCCCCCTGCTTTTAACTTTTCAAATTTTTATCCCATCAACCCGGCTCCCTTTTTACCCCCTTTTCTTTTTCCCTACTGCCTCACGAATTTCCCCCACACTCCAACTCTCTTCCTCACTCCTACAAGATTTATTCCTCCTTCCCTATACACGAAATCACAGTTCCCTATCTTCATCAACATTAACAATTCCCAAAATATTCCCTCCATTTTCCCCAATACCTCTAACTCTCCATTTAATAACTCTCCTCTCCTATTTTTAACTGACAAATCCATTTGTTCTCTAGGCTTTCTTAACTTGTTATCTCACTCCAAAACTTTTTCTTATTTTCAACAAAATTTGTTGATAACATCTCACCCACTCTCTCATTTGCTCTCTTTTTACATTGCTTCACCACTCTCTTAACCTCTCTCTTTTTCTCCAATACTCTCCCTCCTTGCATCACTTCTACTTTGTAAAAACTTCTCATATGCTAACTTTTTTCCCTTACTACTCTCTTTACATCATCATTCCACCAATCGCTCCTCTTCCCTCCTGCACCCACTTTCCTGTAACCACAAACTTCTGCTGAACACTCTAACACTACATTTTTAAACCTACCCCATACCTCTTCGACCCCATTGCCTATGCTCTCATTAGCCCATCTATCCTCCGATAGCTGTTTATATCTTACCCTAACTGCCACCTCTTTTAGTTTATAAACCTTCACCTCTCTCTTCCCTGATGCTTCTATTCTCCTTGTATCCCATCTACCTTTTACTCTCAGTGTAGCTACAACTAGAAAGTGATCTGATATATCTGTGGCCCCTCTATAAACATGTACATCCTGAAGTCTACTCAACAGTCTTTTATCTACCAATACATAATCCAACAAACTACTGTCATTTCACCCTACATCATATCGTGTATACTTATTTATCCTCTTTTCTTAAAATATGTATTACCTATAACTAAACCCCTTTCTATACAAAGTTCAATCAAAGGGCTCCCATTATCATTTACACCTGGCACCCCAAACTTACCTACCACACCCTCTCTAAAAGTTTCTCCTACTTTAGCATTCAGGTCCCCTACCACAATTATTCTCTCACTTGGTTCAAAGGCTCCTATACATTCACTTAACATCTCCCAAAATCTCTCTCTCTCCTCTGCATTCCTCTCTTCTCCAGTGCATACACGCTTATTATGACCCACTTCTCGCATCCAACCTTACTTTATCCACATAATTCTTGAATTTACACATTCATATCTCTTTTCTCCTTCCATAACTGATCATTTAACATTACTGCTACCCCTTCCTTTGCTCTAACTCTCTCAGATACTCCAGATAATAATAATAATAATAATAATAAATAATAATAATAATAATAAATAATAATAATAATATAATAATAATAATAATAATAATAAAAAAAAAACGAGTTCAAGACTGACAATGGATGTATGTATCCTGAAGAATTTCACTTCAACCTAAACTGAGCCTACCTGTCAGGCTTGTAAAAATTTAGATTTTTTCAATTTTTAATTGGGAGGGGAAGGGGGTAGGGCTAAACCCATAGAGGTCATATAGTGCCTCAAGCATTAGAGGCATTTACGCATGGGATCAAGAGCCTCTCACCAATATCAGTGACACCTTTGAGGGGTTTGAATTTTTCTGCTTTTACAACCGAGACTAAGGTCAAAACTATCCTAGTGGCCACCTCATCAGCCAGGTTATCACTGCCAATGGCCCACAGGCTTACATAGCCATCACAATGGAAATAAATGGTATAAAATACCAACACTATGGAAATATAAACACACATGCAGTATAATGTGATCCTTTATTGACCACATTTTGCCCACACAGTGGGCTTTTTCAAGTCACAAACAGATCTACCTGGGGTGGAAGGTACGCGAGTATTTATAGTCAGGTTCAGAATGCTGAGGTCAGGTGGAGAATGCTGCATCTGATGATGTACCGAGTGGGGTTATAGAGTCATCAGATGCAGCATTCTCCACCTGACCTCAGCATTCTGAACATGACTATAAATACTCGCATACCTTCCACCCCAGGTAGATCTGTTTGTGACTTGAAAAAGTCCACTGTATAAGCGAAATGTTGTCAATAAAGGATCACATTATACTGCATATGTGTTTATATTTCCATAGCCATCACAACCTGACTGATCAGGCACCTACTGAAGAAGTAGACTAGTTACTAACTTTATGTTAGCAATACTTCTTATATGTATTAGTAGAACATTAAAAAGTTATGAACCTCAGACATTGACAGTGTTCTCTAATTGTGGTTATGGAACCCATACTTTTCAGCTGATTTATTCCATTCTACATTTCCTCACAGATTAGGAATGTGGCCTTTAGTATTTCCCATGTGTAGATTAAAAGTTTTAATTCCAATGTATATACATTTTCTTATCTATATACTAATACATTAACTGTGGTATTTTTGTGGCAATTCAAACTTTCTTAAAGATATATCTTACAAACATTACTTTTAGAACACTAATCCATCTCACAACCAGAAAAATGTTAACATTTTATGATGACATCATGCTATCTTTTTTTTTTTTCAACAAACTGGCTGTATCCCACCAATGCAGGATGACCTAAAAAGGAAAAGGAAATTTTTTTTTTTAAATTTAGTACAGGAGAAGGGGTTACTAGCCCCTTGCTCCCATCATTTTAGTTGCCTCTTGTGACACACATGGCTTACAGAGGAAGGATTCCTTTCCAGTTCTCCATGGAGACTATTTTACACAGTAGGGCCCCACTTATTCGGCAGGTTAGGTTCCAGGCTACTGCCGGAAAGCAGACTTTGCCGGAAAGCA